AAAGAATTTATGACAAACTGGGTTAAAAAATGCCTTGTAAAATATTAACTAGTGGTGGTGCAGCTGCTCCTCCTAATAGCTTTTGAATGTGTCTGCCAAATTCAACCTTGACAGAGAGATTGTGGCATAGTGATGAATTTTGTGTGAAGGGGCAGCAAGCAGAAGAGATTGTTGGCACTGGCACTGAAGAGCTCCAGCTTTAGCCCAGATGCTGTTAAAAACTAGACAATCCACATAAACAAGATCGTCTGTGAACACTCAAAACGTGTGAAAGATTCATCCAGACCTCAGGTGAAAGCAACTGCTCTTCAGTGAAATACTTCAACCCCATGTGTGAGTTGTCTGATGTCTAATACAAGATGAACTCATCCTGCAGCCTTGCCTTCACTGAAATGAGAATCCCAGAGCACCCACCCAAGGAAACCAGGCTGCAGCATTCTGGGGTCTCTGAAATTACTCGCCTTATTCTGCCGTAGCCAACAGCGTGACAGACTTTTCTTGTCTGATACTGTGTGCTTGATCATGTTGTCTCACTAGGCAAAACATTAGTATATAATGATGGGAGTTTTACCTGAAATGAATCCCAGGACTTGGTCCTGTAATTCTTTTTAGAACATTTAAATGATATTGGAGTCTTTCTCCCTAATGTTTTGGTATCTCAACTTCAGAAACACTGTAAACATTGAGTAGTTTCTAGCGGGTCAACTTCTAGCAATAATCCTAGTCTACAGGCAGTAGTAAGCAGTGCAGTGGTTTTCAAGTGAGGTTAGAGGTGCGTCTGCATGCCAGTGTTTGGCTTTAAATTTGAACGTTTTAATGGCATTGGATCCAGATTTTGGGTTGTCCCGTTAGAGCGATGGGATCCAACATGAAACCTGGAGCTAGACTCCAAGTGTTTAGGAACTGAAACCTGGGAATTTGATGCTAGCTGGATCCAAGATGTGTTATTGGTCACAGAAGTTTCCTGGTAATTGTCCTTTTCACAGAATGGTCAGGGTTGGAAGGGACTTCTGGAGATCATCCAGTCCAACGCCCCTGCCAAAGCAGGGTCACCTGGAGCAGGCTGCACAGGATCGTGTCCAGGCGGGTTTTGAATATCTCCAGAGAAGGAGACTCCACAACCTCTCTGGGCAGCCTGTTCCAGTGCTCGGCCACCCTCAAAGTATAGAAGTTCTTCCTCATATTCAGATGGAGCTTCCTGAGTTTCAGTTTGTGCCCGTTGCCCCTTAACCTGTCGCTGGGCACCACTGAAAAGAGTCTGGCCCCATCCTCTTGACATCTGCCTTTAAGGTATTTATAGGCATTGGTAAGATCTCCTCTCAGTATTCTCTGCTCCAGGCTAAACAGAGTTTAGTTGCTGGAGTTTTTTGTTGCTGTTGCTGGGCTTTTTTGTTGCTGTTGCTTTGGAAGTGCAGGTATTTCAAGGTCTAGTGGTCACTCTGCAGCATGCACACAAATTGCCTAGAAGCAAAGCCTTTATTATAACCTTATGATTATAATACAGCAATAGCCTAAAATGTGCCTCCTAGCCCCAGGAGAGGACCAACCTAAGTTATCTTTCTGCCGAACCTAACCAAATGTCATCAGCTGCTCCTCTGCTCTAAATAAGCTGTGCTCTACTTCTGAGCTATGAGGTAACACGTTGCTTGCTTTGATTTTTAGTTCTCCCTGCCCCACAGCTCAATATCAAAACCACCAAATAAGCCTCATCTAAAAGGGCTATATTTTTTTACATGTGTCCCAAGGTTTAATTTCTGTTCCCACAGAAATCCAGCATTAAAACTCCTTCTCAAATAAACAGAAGCATAAGCAGACCCAAGAAATACCTCTCATGCCTCCACCCAACTTGCTGACTTAATTTTACACGCTGCAATTTTAAACAACTTATAAAGTCCATTGACTTTCACACACTTTGGACTGGAACCGCTACAGAAATAAAAAATATCCATACACAGATTAATGTCTTTTGAAAAAAAATATTTTTTTTTTCAGATTGCACATTCAAAACTTGAGCTGCACACTTCACGGTATAGGAACAGTAGTTTGACAATTCAATTACCACCATGTAGGTGTGTTTTGATTAGTTCAGCTGTAGCCCCAAGGTGTCAGTCAGCAGCAGGAGATGGACCCCAGGTGTAATTACAGTCAGTGGACAAGACATGTCTCCTGGGCTGTAAAATGTTCTCAGTTTACACTGGAAATGCCCCGTCAGAGGGAGGTTTGGACAAAGCCTTCAGGTAGATTGCAGTAGACCTTTAGGAAAAAATGGCTGTTCCAGTTAGAGACTGTGTCTGCTCATTCGCCCACCACATTTTGCCTTCTTTCCGCTGTTTCCCAGCTTTCCCCATTTGCCCTCTACTAAATGGACCAAGCAGTGAACTTCAACCACAGTGCGATGACACGAGGAGAAAGAGCCCTCACGCTTGTGCTGGCAGGCTCTGTCTGCAGCACCAAAGGCTACAAACAAGATGAAATGTTGGCTATGCTGGAGCCACTGCAGGTTTTATCCCAACTCTAGTGCTGCCAGGGAGCAAGGGAAGTTTTGTGCAGGCTGGATTTGGGCCACTGGGCATCTCTTCTAGGTCTTTGCAGCTACAAGGGCACACATGGACCACTGCGGTATGAACACCACCTGAAGACGACTGGTTTTTATCAAGGACCTTGTCTGGTGTTACAGCAGGATTAGTTTCACCGTTCAAACTGATTGCTGCTTTGAGGACGAGGGTGAAGGGACAGACTCCTAGCTGGAAACAGTAATGCAGCTGTCCTTCCCACAGCTACTGGTATTTTTAGATTTTGGTGTCAATTAGTGCTTTTCAGCAATGGATATGTTCGGCTTTAATAACCACTCAAATAAATAATTAAATAAATAATAAAATAGTACTTTGTGCTTTGTTAGCATCATTCGTCCAAAGTCTTTGAAGCGTTTTGCCAAAGCCGAGTGTTACTATTCCCTGCGAGTCCCAGCAATCCCAAGAGCCTGACTCTGCTTCCGTTTATATCAACAGGAGCAAGCCCTGCCCCTGAGGACTTGCCTGGCGCTACACAGTGAGCCAATGACCGACGGAGCACACATCACCCAGGTGCCCTAATTCCTACTTTCATGCTGCCTGCCCTCAACAGCACCAATTGTACCATGATTCAAAGGAGAGCAAGTTCCACCAAAATCAAAGAAAATCCCTACTTGCTTCATTTTCAACACTGTTTGTATAATGTCCCCAGCCTTGCAGGGCACCAGGGTGTGCTTCGTCTACTGTTATTGTTGCTGTTCATTTAAAACCTTCCTTAAAGCCTTCCAAGAGTTTTTTGACCTGCTGTCACCTCGTGGGAAACTCCGGTAAGAAATTTATATGTGCAGGACTGCATGTCTGTGCCAAATGTCAACGTTGTTCTGGTTTTCTCTTCTACTGCATTGTATGTCAGAGACATCCACAAGGAAACAAGATCCTGGCTGTTCTTGCTGCTTCTCCCCTACACTCCAGGTTTGATGCTATCGCCACAGCAACCCAGCACAGCGTCACGGATGACGGAACAGAGAGCTGGTGCTGCCCAAAGCCAGAAGAAAACAGCAGAAAATACTTGAGTTGGATGTGTGCTCCTAACTCCAACCCAGCAGAGAGTAAATGCGGAAACCTGGAGCAGAACATTCTTACTTGAATGCTGTGCACAGGGCATCGGAAGGCTTTTCACATTTCCAGAGCATTAACAGCAGAAGGACTCAGTTCCTCTAAATGGTATTGAGTTAGAGTTATGAAAAAGCCATGATCCTCATCTAAGAGAATCTGTAACATACCTTATTTTGTGCATCTACTCTTTCTTGTGCCCTACATAAGAATACAACTGTTAGCACCAGTGGACAGATAAATGCTGCCGTGCTCAGTAGATGATAAGAGCTGGGTGAATGTCTCATTGTTCGCAGCTTATAGAACCATTAGGTTGGAAGGGAACTCTGGAGGACACCTGGGCTAACCTCCTGATCAAGGCAGGCCAAGCTGGATAAGGTTGCTGAGGGTGTCCTTGAGTTTTAAGAATTCCTGAGGGTGGCAATCTCTCTATGCAATCTGCTTGCAGATTTCCATGTACAAATAATCCACGTGTTTACCACAAAGGCCAGATTCCACAGGTTCATTCATTTTTGTATCTTAATGAACAAGTGGGTTGTGTGGGTGCCCATCAGTTTGTGGATTGCCCACAAACTTCTCTCTTTCTCCCCCTTCTCCGAAAGAAAAAAAGGAATTGTACAGACGTTTGTAAAAGAAACTTTGAAAGGAGAAGGAGAGGTGAGGATACCTGGGAGGGGCAACAGCTGCAAACAGCAAAAATGAAATTGTGTTTGTGAGCACTTCTAACAGCTTCTGCCCAGCTCTGATAATAACATCTACTTACATGGTGTTACGAAGTCTTGATCTGTGCTTTCTCTAGTTCGGTACCAGCAGCAGGTGAGGGGTACCCAGGGGCGTATGGCATTCTGTACTCCAGCCCTCCTCATCTTCGGCATGGAAGTGCAGCAGCTCTGAAAATGCAGTCCCATAACTTAAACCAAGCTGCCTGCCACTCAAGGCAGAATCAGCGGGGGAGGTTTTGGTTCTTAGTCAGCAGTCTCTAGTAGTCAGTAGTCTCCGTTGCCTGCCTTTCCAACTGAAAAGAGTGCAGCTGTAGTCAGCTCCAGTGTAGGCAATCAATCAGTAACTCTCAGGCTTCAAGTAGACTTCTTCTGCAGCCCTCTCTGAGAAAATGCATGTGCTTGTGGGGTGGAGGACACAAGAACTCGCTTCCCCTCTGTAAAGATGACTGAGGTCAATCCTTAAAACACACCCAGAACAAACCTATATTTTAAACAGTATGTGAAATAGCTGCCACATTTTTTGTGCGGTACCCTGCTCCTTCAAAATAAGAAATTAGGGTGGTTGTTGTTGTTCTTTAAATGTTAATGCGGAGGAGCTTTCTGATGCATTATGATGGACAACCGGTGGTGTATCCCCAATCATCCATGACCATGATCATTTCTTATTCAGGTGGGCATGCAGTTCTGCTTCCAAGGCCATCTTGTCAAAGGTGCGCGTGTTCGTCTCCTCCCGAACCTTTTCCCGGACATGGAAGGACGCCCGAGCGACAGACCTGGCATTTTCTAATACTGTCTTCTTCTCCTTGAAGATCTGCTCGCTCCTCTCCAGCTTCCTCTCTATAGAGAGGAGGATCTCCCTGCGCCGTAAGTCCTCGTACTGCTCCACCTTTTGCTTGTTCAGCTTCTGCACTTTCTCCTTCTCCAGGCGACTCAAGACCACCTTGCGGGCTTTCTCTTGGACGGCCTCTTCAGCCACCTGGGCAGCATGCTGGAGCTTTCTCTCTGTCTCTCTAGCTAGGGCCTCCAAGTGCTCTTTCTGTTCTCTTTCCTTCTTCTCTGCTGCCAGTTTGGCTCTCTGGATCTGCATGTCCTCCCGCCTGGCCTTCTCCCTCAGCTCCTGGTTCCTCTTCTCCACTAGCTGCTCATAGTTCTCCTGAGCCTTTGTCAAACTCATTTCCAGGGAGGCCTTCAGCATTTCCTTCTCTTCTGCCTCTTGCTTGGCCAGTTCCCTGAGCAAGGCCTCGTGCTTCACCTTCTCTGCTTGGTTGAGCAGTTTCTTCTCCTTCTGCAGCTGCACCTCCTTCTTCAGCCTCTTCTGCGCGGCCGTGGACAGCTTCTCTTGCAGGAGCTGCTCCTCTCGCTCCCGGTGCTCCTTCTTGACCTCCTCCTTCGCCTTCAGGTTGTGCTCTTGATGGAGCTTCTTCTGCTTGTCCTCCTGGATGGCCCTCTCCAGCCTCTCCCTCCGCAGCCGCTCCTGCTTCTCCGCTTGCTCCCGCACCCCGGGCCCTGCCTCTGCTTCAGCGGGGCGACTTCTTCCTGCTCCTGGCTCAGCCTCCCCCGACGCTTCTCCACCTGGCTCTCCCACATCCGCTGGCCCTGCAGGAGGGCCCTCTGCTTCTCCTTCTCCTCCTGCTCCTTCCGCTGCTCTGCCATGCGTCGCTGGCTGTCCCACTGCAGGTGGGCCGCCTGCCGCTGCTCCCGCAGGAGGCTGGCCTCCTGGTGCTTGGCGATCATCAGCGCCGCGATCTTCTTGTCCCTCTCGGGCACCTCTGAGAGGCCTTTCCTCCTCTTCACCTCTCTGACGATCCTCTCCACCCTCTGGGCAGTCTGGGGCGAGTGGCTGAGGTCGCCCAGGCTG